CTCCTTAGCGTCGTGAGACGGTACCCGTGGTTCGGGCTGCAGTTCGGTGTTAGCTCAAGGGGAAGCTCCTGTCAATTGTTTTCTTCCCTTGTTCCATCCTTGCTTGCTGTCAGAAATCCAGCTATTTGTGTGGGTTCTGCAAATCCTCAAGGAGCCCCAGTTCTGCCCTGAGGTTACACGGGTGAACTGGGGTGCTTGGGGTTCGTGTGGCCTGTGTATATGCACACCCACAAACATGCACAGAGACCTCGCTTTCCTTTACAATCATGGAAACATCTCCGTGGTTTTCCAGACTCTATACCCTGTTATTAAAACCTTTACTTTTAGTACTTTGCTATAAGAAAGATGCTTGCGTGCTCTGAAATACGGCTCATTATTTCAGCTGCACCCTAAAAAATAACTAAAACCTGCAAACCTTACCTATCCTACTTCTCCCCTCTTTCCGTTCAAAAAACGGATTCTCAGGAGCGACCACAAGACAGCACGTTTGAGTTTGTACTTGAGCTTTCGAAACACTGACTGCCGTGAATTTGCTGGTCTCCAGGAGAACCGGTCGTTGAAACTTGCTTTGATGTCCGGACTTTTCAGAACGTCACTGATTTTTACCTTACTTTCATTCTTCTGATTGTGCATTTCATGTTGGGCAGAGGTTTTAAGCTTCTGGAATAAAACCATCTGTCTGATGCAACTGCTGCTCACCAAATGAAATGGAAAATGTTTTTTACAGGCACCTGTCTCAAGGTCATTTCTTAAGGAAAGAATTCCTTTAGAATTCAGTCGATGAGTGACAGTGCTGCTGGGGTTGCTAAAGTGCACAGCTGTCTTGCCAATACTTTCTGCCACATTACTAAATACATATATTGTCACTGCATGCCTGCTTTAAAGAGGGGGGAGCAAAGGGAAAGGTTGTTAGGTAGACTCTAGCCTTTTGAAGAGATGGAGTTTAATGCTTAAATCAATCTTGTCGTACAAGGTGTGGGCTAGCTTAGTTAGCTTTAATATTCCAGAATAATGATGATATTTCACAGACAGTTATCAGCAATAACGTTTATGGAGGTCTTTTATAACTGAAACCAGTAGTGCAAAGTCCTTCGCTTGAGTAGACAGGACATAGATTTTCTTGTTACTACGTTTGATAGATTGTGGGTTATTTAATAGTAGTCTTTTACTTACTTTTGTAACCTCCTGAATCAGTTTTGCAGTGTAGTGCTGTTTTCATGTGTGCCACTAATATTTTAGGTCTGCTAATATCAGCAGTAATCACAGAGATAATGTAGGCACCAAGTTCTTAAGCAGGGGGAGAGCATTAAGCCCACACCTTCCTCATTGGATATTGGAAGCTTTACCTATGCCTGTAATAATGTAGGAGTGGGAGAAATCCTATGTTTGCTGAATTAGAGCAGGAGGATATCTGGGGATGCAATGCTCAGATGTTTTTCTTTCCTTTTTATCATTACCTTTACTAATCTTTCAGTTTCCTAAAACTTTTTAACTAGGCATTGGGTGTATGTGAAGTGGGGAAGGTTTTGAAACTAAATGGCACAGTTAGATGTCATTTAATTTGTCCTCTAGTTCTTGTACACCTGAGAGTGAGTAAAGGTCACCTCTGTAGCTACCACAGCATGAAAGTACTTTTACTGAAGCCCGGTGCAGGAGCCAAGGCACGGATTAAAGTGCCTGAACATGAATGTGTGGAGCCTACGATTTGCACTGGGGAGTTGCTCATGTCTCTAAACCTCCAACCTCTGTAAGTAGCCTCGGATGCTCAATGATACCAAATTTTTAATGTGGTGTCAGTTGGAAACTTGACTATGTTTCGTAAGAAGCACAACATTTTTGTTTTGTTAACCTAGCGCCCAGAATCAAGAGAGAGCATGAAGATTCCTTTGATACTGATTGTTTATGGTTGGTGCAGGGGGAAGGAGTTCTGGGGAAAGCTTATGTGGGAATCCAGTGGGGTGAAGGCTTGGAGATTAAAAACCAAGTGGGCAGTACTCCTCGCTTTATTTTAGCTTATGCTTCTTCCTCACTCCCCCAGCCCAAAACTGGAGGAGAACAGGAAGGATGGTAGTAAGCAAAGGTAACTTTTTTGGAGAGGGTAGAGCTGCATCATGACTGAATTTTATTTTATTTTATTTTTTATTACGCGAGCTTAAATGTTAAATCTGTCTCAGTTAAGAAAGTCCTACATCTTGCCTTTTATGTTCCACTCCTGCTCTCTCATGGTGTTATGCTAAATACTCACTATAATGCTAGTGGATAAATAGACATTTCTTTAATGTTCAAATCAGATTAGCATATAAAGTGCACATAGTGTCACTGACTTCCCCCTTTGGTGACACTGCAAAAAAATTGTCATTGACTTCCCCCTTTGGTGACACTGCATTGGTTCTTAGGTAGCAAAGGAGGAGCCTAACTTCTTAAAATCTTTGTTCCATTCACTGGAAACTCGGGAATTGATTCACAATTATTTCAAATACTGTGTAATTCCAAGAAAATGTTCTCTACTGTTACCTGTGTGAGTCCTGGAGTAGCTTAGTACAGGATCTTTTTTTATATGCTGCTGATATGGGGCTTTGAAAGGCCAAGGTTTGGCAGCACAGTAATTTTCCAGTAGCTGTTTTCCTAACTAGCATGATTAGCTGCCTTAAAAGTGTTCATTGTTCCTTTACATAAATAAAATCTAGATTCTACTCAGAAATATGCTGAGAAGTTTGCTTTAAAATCTGATACCCATTTTAAACTGTGCTGCCCATCATCATTCAGACATTATGGTACGTTTGTAGGGTATAACTTCCCTACTTAAGAATACTGTACCAGAACTAGTATTGAGATTTAAAACCGCAAGAATTGATTGTCTGCTCTCCTTCTCTCTTCTAGTGGGATTTTTATGAGGTTTGACACTCACAGCAGGATATGTCCAAATTAAATAATGCAGTTCAGCGCCATAAGTGGTAGCCAATTAACTGAATATTTCAAGAATTATTCCTATAATGAAGGCAAAATCATGTTGAGGTCTAAATCTGCAAGTTCAGTAGTTTAACTTCATCACTTATGCTCTCATTTTATCTAGTATCTGGTAAAATGGGGTGGTGGCCTCATTTTTATAGCTACCTGATGCTGGCTGATCGCTTCTGCGGAGAGAATACACTCAAGTCACAAAATGGGTTTCTTATAAATGTCAGTGACGGGAATGTTGGTTGGAAAGGGTATCTAGAGGTCATCCAGTCTCTTACCTCTTTCTTGCTCTGAGTCTGGAGGTTGTCCAGTCCAGCCTGAGAGGAAGGATTTTGCCACTGCTAAATCAGGTCATACGTGTTTTTTTCATTTGGGTCTTGGAAACCGCCAGGGATGAAGGTTGCCCTGTTCCAGTGTTCCAGCAGTACCACCCTGATGAAGAATTTTTCTCTTAATTTGTAGCTGTTGCCCCATGTTCTGCTATCTGCCACTACTGAGAGGTGCTTGACGGTGTTATTTTTGTAACCTTTATCAAAGTAGGCTACCGTTAAATCACCACTTGTCCTCTGCCTTTCCAGACTGCTCACAGTTCCCTCAGCCTCATCTTACAGGACACGAGCTCTGGGTCTCAACCATCTGAGTGATGCTTACCTGGACCCTCTTAGTTTTTCAACATCCCTCTAAAACTCGGGGTCCCAAAACTGGACTTGGTATTCCCCCTGCAACCACCAGTGCTAAGTGAAATGCCTGCCTTTGCTCTGCAAGCTATACTTATCATAATGCAGCCCCATGTGTAATTAAATTACTTAAATCACAATTGGATGTGGAAGACGTGTTGTCCGCAATTCAAATGATCATGTTTTAATTATTTGAAAAAGTGGGCATGGGATTCCAGCAGGCTGGTTGGAGTCTGCTTTTTCCTGTCCTAGTACAATCTGCCCCAGCCCTATCACCTCTAGGGGAAAAAGTGAAATACAAAGACTTACAAAATACTAGGTTATGAATGTTCTTTGGCATGTTTACCCTTTTCAATATTAAATAACCTCTGGAGTTCCCCAAGTCCTGGCTCTGCTTAACAAAGTGGACTTTGGCTGTAGGGAAAGCAATATAGCAATGTGTTGGCAGTCTTCTCCCGGCCTTTTGGAGTGTTGGGTCTGTTTGACAATGGACAGTTGTATTATGGATATTAGTGTCTGTATGTGTCCATAATGTAGCTTTTGTCTGTTGATCTGTTAAATTGCTGCGTGACAGTTTAGTGAGGCAGTAGTTTGAAGTTCGCTGGATTCCTTGGCTCTGTCATTCAGTAAGTCTTTGGTCGTAAGTAAGCATTCAAAATGCTTGCTGGAAACAACCTTCAAAGTTGAAAGAATCTGAAACTGTTAAAGTGTGGCAGCTTGTAAAACATCTGTATTAGGTTTGAAGTATGAATCTAATGAGTGGGTACATGTGGTTACACCTTATGCTAAAAAGGCAGCATTGTTAAAAGGAATGCCAAGTTTTTCAAATTGATTGTCATTCCTGGTGTTCTGGAAGTTTTTCCAGGAGCAGTTCAATGATATTTTTGCAAGTGTGGTCCATTTCTGTAAAAGCAAGTACAGAAATTACTGCTGTTTCTAGCAGAGCAGAAGTGTCAACCCAAGAGCTGTCCCTGATCCACATTTGGGCACACGCTTTCATCCAGGTTAAATAATCACAGTCTTAATTCTGCAGTAACGGTTACTTTTTACCAGGGGTGTGAGCCTGCACTGTGTAGCTGTGGGTAAGTCTCTCATTTTCTTGCAGGGTGAACCTATCAGAGTCCTGGTGACTGGAGCTGCGGGGCAGATCGCTTACTCACTGCTCTACAGCATTGCCAAGGGAGATGTCTTTGGCAAAGAACAGGTAAGTCTTACGCTGAATTATCACTTGTCTCCGCTGCGCAGTAAGGAATAAGCTGATGGTAGAACTGCAGTCCCTGAGACTTGTTTTCTTGTAGGCATTTGGAGTGGTTTACCGACATGCAAGTAATTTATTCTTTTAAGTGGTGAGAACTGAGTCCCGCTCTGTTATGCAAGCTTTCAGTTGTCAGTCATGCTGAATTTTTTTCAGTTTTCTGTACATGGATTATAAGTCTTGCACAAAATAGGAGTTTCTAGCAGATAGCAAACCAAATTCATTCTCAAAACAGATTACGTACAACTTGCACTAAAACATTTCTTTTTTTACAGCCTCTTGTTCTTGTGCTGCTGGATATCACCCCCATGATGACAGTACTGGAAGGTGTAGTGATGGAGCTGCAGGACTGTGCTCTTCCACTGCTGAGAGGTGGCCAAAAGAAATTTTTCTTATACTTACAAGATGCTCTAGTACAACTGTTGCATTAATGAGTTCCTGTAGCTGGCAGGAAGCTAAGCAGAAGAAAATATTAGATGATCCTTTCTTGGTTTTATATTTTGTGGAAGATAATTTAATTTTGGCTGTGAGCTAGGAAGAATGTCATCAAATTAGTTTTATGTAAAGAATTCACTATGCAGATACCTGGCTTTTGGTTAATATTGTCTAATCCTGGGTTGTCATCACGTGCAACAAATTGTCAAGTACCTGTGCCTTTGTGTTGTATTCTGGCCTGGTGGTAAAATAAGAATGAATCTTTAGATGTACTTATGTGCCTTTACTAAGTAAAAACAGTCTTTAGAAATATCTTCTGCATAAAGACACAAATGGAAAACTTCATTCATCAAGTCATGTAGACAAGTTAAGTTCTGATAAACAAGCAGAAGAGAGCCAGTACATGCTAGTGATTAATTATAGTACTTACAAAAAAAAAAAAAAAAGAGTGCAGCTACCAGCTCTTGTACTTGTACAAATTCATCCTTCTTCAGTTTGAATGGGAGAGTTCAGTTTTTCAGTTGAAAGGGAGAATTTGTGTTGATAATTGCCGCTAAGAATATTTTTGTGAAGGTGAAGAACAGCGTATGCGCATATGTATGTAGAGAGTGACACTTGAAACTTATCTTTTGACACAGATTTATCCTGTGTTATCAGAGTTTATATCTAAAGCTTTAGACAAATATTTGTGTATGAATACTTGCCAGTAAGCAGTTTCTAATCTGTGGAGTTATGGCCAAATGACTATACCTTTATTTTTGGAAGGGGAAGGTGGTGCTGTTGTCAGATCACACTACATACTATTTACGAACCAAAGAATATTCCCATTAACACTTTACCATGAGTATTTATGTTACTTAGATAATTTTTTTTCGCCCCGTTTCCTTTTTCTAGAGGTCATTCCAACAGACAAGGAAGAAGTTGCATTCAAAGACCTTGACATAGCAATTCTGGTCGGCTCCATGCCAAGGAGAGAGGGCATGGAGAGGAAGGATTTACTCAAAGCAAACGTGAAGATTTTCAAGTCTCAGGGTGCAGCCTTGGACAAGTATGCCAAAAAGACTGTCAAGGTGAATGTAGAAACTGAATTAAAAAACTCTGAGTTATGCAGAGTTCTCAACACGTTGTAGAATGATATTGTGCAAGCAGGAGCCTATTCAGTGCAGGCATTCCTTTCCTTAAGCCCTGGAAAATCTACTGCAGGCAAGGTTAGATGAGATATAGTATGTTAAATAGGTAGATGATTTAGTCTTTAATTTGTTCAGTGAAAAATGTTAGGTCTTACGTTGTATTGCTGTAGTCCACACATACTCTGAACTGGTTACCAGCAATCCTTCAAGGAAAAAAAATTATATAAAAATAAAAAGCAGTGTTCTGCTTGTTATCTCTCTTCTCTGGGAGAACTAAATTATCTGCATACAGCTGCCTACTTCATATCCATCTGTGGGTTTAACATAATGACCCTTAACTTCAGTATCAATATGGAATTACAGTTGCACAAAAAATGGGCTTTATTTAGGTTGTTTGCACCTGGGTCTTTGGAGCATTGGAAGCTTTTAATTGTTCTCTCTCAGATTCCTTCAGCACAGTTAATGGGATCATGTGGCTGCTCTCCTACTGCTCTTAATCTCAGACCCAGACTCCGACTGTGCTTTGTAACTGACTTTTTAATGTCTGCTTCCTCTGTTGATGAACTTCCTACTGCTTCTAAAGACTTGTTTGCTTCTTTATACAGCTGGAATAAAAACTATCAATATAACCATTGCAGAGTAATGGAAAATTTACTGAACTCTATTTCAAAAGGGGGAATACAAAGGGAGGTTGGCAGATTAGCTTGTGTGATTGAGTGTATGTGGAGCTTGTCACTAATCATTTGAGGCGCATTAGTAGATGAAGGATGAATAAAAATCAGTTTTCCATAGTAAGAAATTGAAAGTTTGGGCAATATTTTACTTTTAACTGCGCATGAAAGTTAAGTAATTGTTCTGGCTTTCTTAATTATAAAGCAATTATATAAAGCAGTGGCAGTCATTCAAGGAACCATTTAAAAGGTGATGGTGAATTCGCTGTGGGCGGACTAATGCGTCTGTATCGTGCTTTCCCTGTATCTAGTAGCAGGGGGTTTGAAGACAGGATGTGGGTCAGTGTGCACAACTCCTTAAAAGGTCTGGTTCTCTTTCACATTTGAATGTCGAATTATAGAAAAGATACCTGGCTAGAAAATACTTTTCTGTGCAGTTACAAAAGTTTCTGACTACAAACAACACACATATTAAAAAAATCTTGTTTAAAACAAATGAGATTTAGAAAAAATAACTTTTTGATAGTTTCTTTGAAGGCAAAGTCCTGTATTTCACTTGAGGGAGCTGTTTTGCCAAAATAGCTTCTTCATCTTTCCACATTCCTCTTCCCCTTATTTGTTTTTAGGTTGTGGTAGTTGGGAATCCAGCAAATACTAACTGCCTGATTGCATCGAAGTCAGCCCCATCAATACCAAAGGAAAACTTCAGCTGCTTAACTCGTTTGGATCACAACAGAGCTAAATCTCAGGTAAAAAGTGTGTGTTCAAAGTAGAATGCTTTCTGTTGTCTCTGCTAACTACAAACAGAGCAATGCTTTCCAAGAAGCCTGTGAACTGAGAGGGTGAAGGTAATACAATGGACATCTTTAATTTCTGCTTAGATTGCTCTGAAACTTGGTGTGACTGCTAATGATGTGAAGAATGTCATCATCTGGGGCAACCACTCCTCCACTCAATATCCAGATGTCAACCACGCGAAGGTAAATGTGAAAGGGAAGGAAGTTGGAGTTTATGAAGCTATAAAAGATGACAGCTGGCTGAAGGGAGACTTTATCCTGGTAAGTTCGTGGGGCTTTTTAAAAGGTCATTCTGTGCTTCTGCTTTCTCCTAAGCTCATATGTCATTGTAAACTGGGTAAATGACTGAGTGAAGCAGCTCTTCCTATCTCACTAGAATAAGTCATCTTCAGATAGTTTGTCAGTTATTCACTTTTAAAAATATTAAGGCATTATGAAACTTACGGAAATACTACTAGAAAAAAAGCTATTTGGAGTGCTAAAATGATTCAACAAAAATAATTTTGATCATAACATAAGTGCACCTCATCTGGCACACAAGCACATTGACAGTTCACTGTGGTGACTTTCTTGGGCAGCTTTGCAGATGAAGTAGGATGATCTTCCACTTGCTGCTCCCCACCTGCCAAAATAAGCACGGCAGCCCTTCCCCTGAACATGCATGTACACACACACACGCTTTCCCAAGTCTGTGGCCTCACCAGCAGCATTTCTGAAAAGTAATCTGAAAAATCTAGAAAACACCTGCAAATATTTTAATGTAGGGTGGTAATAAATAATAATTTATATTATATTATTATTAAATTAACTATGTTATCAGTTGATCAAGAGTACAGGTTACCTAAATGCAATATGAAGTGAAAGAAGGATTACTTAAGCCCTTGATGAACATGACTCCGAAGTAGCTGTACTTAGCATGATATTGTAATGTTACTGGCATGCTGACAGCCAGGTACCGTATCTTAGCCAAGGTACCTTTAGTTTGGGACTGAGGATGGGTTTTATCATACGACCAAGCTCTGTCCTGTCTTTGTTTTGGGTATAGCTTATTCAAGTTCATGCTTGTTGCCACAGAATAAATGATTGTAGGCTGGAAACCAGTGTTCATCAGCCAGAGTGGAAGCGGAAACCTGTCCTCATCCTTGATCCTGTGGTGTCTTACGTGGCCAAGGCAGGATACTTTGGCCTTCTAGGTACATCGTAATGCTGGTCTATGCTAGAATGCTTTGCCAAAGAAAGGATATTTCCTAATTCCTGCTTTCTAGACTGGGGTCTGGTTGGCATACAGACTTACCAAAACTGACTAAAAGAAAAAAAAAATACAAGTTTTAAGAAACTATTCTAATTCCAAGAAGTGCAATTCTTCAGTACAAAATTTCTAAACATAAACTTGAGTATCAGGAGGTAGGTTCAGCTATCTTCAGGAATTAAATTTTGTGCATTAAATATTGTAGGATTGAGACCAGCAAGTAGTTCACATTGATATTCAGCAAAAAACCCTTAATTCCCAGTGTTGCTCTGAGACATCTGTTACTGTTGATGCACATGAAGTCTCTTGGTGGTAAAAGCTTGAAACATCTGATTGGTATGAAAGAAGTTAGTGGGCTGTAAAGCAGGTACTAAGAAGTGAGCCAACCTCTGAAATGCTCTGTTGTGTTCTTATCTCAGCAAAACTCTTCGAGATTGTATGACATGTTCATTAGTGATAGAACTATATCTTGACTGATGAATTCATGTTTGTAAGGTGGTCTGTCCTTATGGAATTTACTGACAGTGTTTAGACCAAGACACAATTTTTCTGCTTTACAATTTAGGTTTTATTCTTAATTGCAGACTGTTCAGCAGCGTGGAGCAGCCGTTATTAAGGCTAGGAAGCTGTCCAGTGCAATGTCAGCTGCCAAAGCTATCTGTGATCACGTGAGGGACATCTGGTTTGGCACTCCAGCGGTAAGGTCTTGCTCTTGAGTAAGTGCTTGCTCGCCTAATGCTTTGGTTACATGCTAGTGTCTTGACCTCTGGTGTGTAGTGTGTTGAGAGGGCAAAGAATCTGTCTTTTTCTGGAATAGTGTGTCATGGGAGATGCAGGACATTGAAAATTATAATTTTGCTTGCTTCTAGTGTATGTATTCCTTCCCCTTCTGTTTTCAGGGGGAATTTGTTTCCATGGGAGTAATTTCTGATGGCAATTCCTATGGTGTCCCTGAAGACTTGCTATACTCATTCCCTGTTGTGATCAAGGTAACTAGACTTGGATTTAAATCTAGTTTAAATTTTATCTTCTTCAAGACCTAGTTGAACTGTTGTATGAGCTAGTTAAGAGCTGTGCTTTTAGTGTGGGACTGCAGTTGCTGGGATGTGGGGGTCTTAGCAGTTTTTCACAGACAGGACCATTATTCACCATTTTGTAGTAGCTGTGAAATAAGTTCTGATAGAAACGTAGAATCTCACACAACTAAATGATGCTTGCTCTATTCTTTATCTGAAACCAAAATTAACTTCCTGATGTGGGTTTTTTATGGCCATAAACTTTTCCTTAATGCTGCAAAATTTCCTTTGTGCAGACTGAATGAGGCTTGTTCTCATATGGAGGGGCTTTCTGTTTGTTTTCAAACAGGACAAGACCTGGAAGTTTGTTGAGGGTCTTCCTATTAATGATTTTTCTCGTGAGAAGATGGATCTGACAGCCAAGGAGTTAACTGAAGAGAAGGAGACTGCTGTAGAATTCCTCTCCAGTGCGTGACTAGGTGTTGAGGAAACACAAAATCATTTAAGAGTGGAAGAATCTAGAAGTCGTCTCTAAGTCTGCTACCAAACACTATTACTGTATTCAAGTGAACTGTCTGTGGCAATTGTGCATTTTCGAGTTCATATGCTTACCGGTACTGTTATGCCTATTGAGTTATTAGCAAAAAGATTAAGGAAGTATAACTAGTTTGGTCAACAAATTTTGTCCGTTCAAGACTAGTTGCTTTCTGTGTATGATACAGAGTAATTGTTTGCCTTGGCTACTAACGCACAATCTGAGTTTTGATTAGAATTTGGCACTATTGGAACGTGTCCTAGTTGGAGCATCCTGTGGCTCAACTGAAATATTAGAATGCCAGTAGTTCTCCTTGAACCGATTGTTCAGTGACTCACGTCTTCACTCTGGTTATGCTTACAATGTTTGTCAATAGAAATATTAAAATATGCTTAATCACATAGTGGCTAAGAGTGGTCTGTGGTGCTTTATTTGCATATTTTACTTATGTAACTAACAGAATTTGATGCCCCTGAAGGCATATTTTAAGAAACTGAGGGAAACTAGTTTTAGGAAGCTTTGAGAATTTTCCTAGTGCAGCCCACAAACATCTTAGCATCAGGAAGCTATTTCAACTATATCATATTTTAATTACTCCTTTGCAGAGATGCAAGTGAGTGTTGCTGTAATGCTCTTCCTAGAGTCCTGCTTTGTGTCTTCCTACTGTAGTAGCCCATCTTATGTAAACTTAAGGAATTCAGACTAGGTTTGTTGTTCTGGAAATTTCTTAGATGTACTAAGCACCTTAAATACTTCCTTCCCTGTCTGCAGAGTACAAACTCTCACAGTAATGGGGTTTTTCTCATACACTCTCAGTGCTCAGTTGTTGTCTGTCCTGTTCCAATATAAGCATTTTTGCTAAAGTAAATCTTGGGTCTGTCTTATCTGCAGTCATCTCACTTCCCTTTTTTTGGTTTGTCGTCCTTAAATGAGGATTCAAGAAGTAAAACTCTGTTGATGAGAGGAAAAAAAATAAACAACCCAGCTTAAATTGTATTCTAAGCAAACTGAATGGTTTCTTTGAGGATTTATCAACTAGAACATAAAATAAACCAGCAAACATCAATAAGCTTACCCTTAAAAATGTCTGCTGCCAGAACATTTCACTAGCTTCTAGGTGCTGCGACAGTAAGCAGCAAAGGCTCAGCTATACCTAAACCGTGGGAAGGGAGAATAAGCGTTTCAGAAAGTGGGAGTGTCTGCTGCAGCGGAGGCCAGCTGGAGGCAGGGCACCACAGGTGAGTGCCGTGTGCGTTTATGAAGCAGCTGTTGCAAGAACTTATGCATTCTGGTGTCTTAAGAATAAACAAGAAGTATACACCCTGTATTTTTTCACTGGTTTTCTCAATCCTCTAAACCCCTTGGCGTTTAGCTGTGGAGCAACAGTAAGAAAATGTCACGTGTCTGTTTTTGTGACAGTTTGGAAACTTCTGCAGAAAGTCGGGAGGTAAGGAAAGCCGTGCCCATGTGATTACTGCCTTCCGGTGTTCCATACCAAGTCAGTAAAACTTCTTTTCAGCATGAAACTGGGGCCCAAAGGAATACGTTCCCGTCATTACCATGCTACAGCTTGTTTTAAGATGTGTTTTGCAGTGAATGTTACAGGAGAGGGAGCCTGTAGCCTTTTTGAACGGAGTAACAGTGTGGCTGTAGCCAAGTAAAGGAATGAGTATGCACCTGTGCCTGAAAACCATAAAGGTATGATAAAACGCTGCTGGTGTACAGCACGTTTTGTGCCATACCTACAGAAACATCACAATGCAGGGAAAGAAGCATTTAAAAAAAAAAAAAATCTGGAAGAGCTGGTTCTCCAGGGTTTTTTCATGTTTGTTTTAAAGCAGCCTTCTCCAGGAGGCAACTCACTTGCGAAGTGACACTTATAACACGTGGTGTATCAGAATAATTGCATAATTAACCTCAGTACCTGGTAGACTGCCTCATTTTTTCACCTCCTCAAGCTAACGCTTGAATCTACGGTTGATTCCTCTCATGAGCTTGAAGCATTGTTTGTATTTCCTCCAGACATCTGTGAAGCAATTCCACAGGAAATCTCTCATCTGCCCACTGACCAGCTTTGCCACCTGGCCGCTACCAAGTGGTAGATCCTTGCATTCATGTGTCTGAACTGAAACTCTGAACTGTTTTGCCCTGGTTTTGTATTTCTGGGAGACTCCCTCCTGCTGTGGTTACTTCTCTCTTACAGTGGCTTGTGTTACTTGTGCAGTCTGCCCTGTTTTTGCAGGGCGCTTTGTGCTTCTCTTAGTAGGTGATACATGAAGTACGAGTACAGGCTGGGTGGAGAGTGTATGAAGTACGAGTACAGGCTGGGTGAGAATGGATCGAGAGCAGCCCTGAGGAGAAGGACTTGGGGTACTGGTGGATGAAAAGCTGGACGTGAGCCGGCCGTGTGCGCTGGCAGCCCAGAAAGCCAACCGTATCCTGGGCTGTATCCAGAGAAGTGTGGCCAGCAGGTCGAGGGAGGGGATTCTCCCCCTCTGCTCTGCTCTGGTGAGACCCCACCTGGAGTGCTGCATCCAGCTGTGGAGCCCTCAACATCAGAAGGATATAGACTTTTTGTCCAGAGTCCAGAGGAGGCCACGA